GGATCCGTCTGCAGATATTGGGATTTTTTCCAGTGGATATTTAGTTTGTTTTGTCATTCTTGATCGGATTTTCTCTACTGTTCCGTTTAAACTTTATATTATCATTATTTGCATTTATGTGGCTGCTCCTTGTTTTTATGGGTTTATCCCATTTGCCATTAAATTTATATATATATATATATATAAATATATATATAACGAAGCGCGACCGAAATGATATGTATTCTTGTACTCTAGCTACACCTAGCTATGGGCGGTACTACATGACTGGTGCTGGTGGGCCTAGCTTAGGACTAGGCTAGGTGTTGCAAGGCCTGCGGCTGTCTTATCCAGTCTTGGCATGTCACCCTTAGTTTTGTACAGTTTATTAGCTAATTCTGGCACTAATTTAATAAAATATATTAATAATAATTGATTATATTAGCTAATTCTGGCACTAATTTAATAAAATAAATTAATAATTGACTATACTTGGGTACTTTAGCAAGTTGGGCACCAGTTAAATGTGTTTGCAGTAATCAATGAATATTGACACTAATGTACTAAAATATATTGATAATCATTGATTATAGACAGCTTGGGCACTGCTTTTTAGTAACTTGGGCACCAGTTAAGTGTGTTTTGTAATAATCAATTAATGTTGGCTAATTCTGGCAATATTTGCTAAAATAAATTGATAATAATGGATTATAGATAACTTGGGCACTACTTTTAGTAAGTTGGGCACCAGATAAGTGTGTTTAGTAGTAATCAATCAATATTAGCTAACTCTGGCACTAATTTACGAAAATATATTGATAATCATTTATTATAGATAACTTGGGCACTACTTTAGTAAGTTCGGCACAAATTAAGTGTGTTTAGTAGTAATCAAATATTAGCTAACTCTGGCACTAATTTACTAAAATGAATTGATAATAATTGATTATAGATAACTTGGGCACTACTTTAGTAAAGTTGGGCACCCGTGTAGTGTGTTTTGCAGTAATTAATGAATATTGGCTAACTCTGGCAATAATTTACTAAAATAAATTAATAACTGATTACAGATAACTTGGACTCTGACACTAATTTGTTATGTATATTGATAATAATTGTTTATAGATAACGTGGGCTCTACTTTAATAAGTTGGGAACCAGTTAAGTGTGTTTAGTTGTAATCTATTAATATTAGCTAGCTCAGGCACTACTTTACTAAAATACATTGATAATAATTGATTATAGATAACTTGGGCATTACTTAAGTAAGTTGGGCACCAGTTAAGTGTGTTTAGTAATAATCAATGAATATTGGCTAATTCTGGCACTAATTTGCTAATATAAATTGATAATAATTGATTATAGATAACGTTGGCTCTACTTTAGTAATTTGGGCACCAGTTAAATGTGTTTTGTAGTAACCAGTGAATATTGGCTAACTCTGGCACTAATTTACTAAAATATATTGATAATTGATTATAGATAACTTGGGCACTACTTTAGTAAGTTGGGCACCAGTTAAGTGTGTTTAGTAATAATCAATGAATATTGGCTAATATCTGGCACTAATTTGCTAATATAAATTTATAATAATTGATTATAGATAACGTTGGCTCTACTTTAGTAATTTGGGCACCAGTTAAATGTGTTTTGTAGTAACCAATGAATATTGGCTAACTCTGGCACTAATTTACTAAAATATATTGATAATAATTGATTATAGATAACTTGGGCACTACTTTAGTAAGTTGGGCACCAGTTAAGTGTGTTTAGTTGTAATCTATTAATTTAGCTAACTCAGGCACTAAGTTACTAAAATACATTGATAATAATTGATTATAGATAACTTGGGCACTTAAGGGCACTACTTAAGTAAGTTGGGCACCCGTGTAGTGTGTTTTGCAGTAATTAATGAATATTGGCTAACTCTGGCAATAATTTACTAAAATAAATTAATAACGGATTACAGATAACTTGGGCACTACTTAAATAAGTTGGGCACCAGTTAAGTGTGTTTAGTAATAATCAATGTATATTGGCTAATTCTGGCACTAGTTTGCTAAAATATATTGATAATAATTGACTATAGATAACTTGGGCACTACTTTAGTATGTTGGGCACCAGTTAAGTGCGTTTAGTAGTAATCAATTAATATTAGCTAACTCCGACACTAATTTGTTATGTATATTGATAATAATTGTTTATAGATAACTTGGGCACTACTTAAGTAAGTTGGGCACCAGTTAAGTGTATTTAGTAGTAATCAGTTAATATTAGCTAACTCTGGCACTAATTTACTAAAATACATTAATAATAATAGATTATGGATAACTTGCACACTACATTAGTAAGTTGGGCACCAAAAAGACCATGACCATGTGGAAGTAGATCAACTCGGCCCCAAGTCAACTCGGCCCCAAGTCAACTCGGCCCCAAGTCAACTCGGCCCCAAGTCAACTCGGCCCCAAGTCAACTCGGCCCCAAGTCAACTCGGCCCCAAGTCAACTCGGCCCCAATAACTGCCAAAATTAAATTGTTTTAAATCGTTGGCCTTGTTCTTTACATTTACAATAATAAAATCGGCATTAATAAAAATTATAAAAATAAAATTAATAAAAAGGAATAACATAAAAACAACATGAACAATAATACTGATTTATAGGCATATTAAATGTACCTATTATATAATGATTTATATACATATGTATATATATTAAAAAATAAAAATGTATATATATATGTATATATATATATATATATACATTATTCGTTTCTTATTATTTCTTATACACAAAGTTTTGATTTTATCTATGATATCATAATTAATATACATATAGGCTTATATATATATTTAAATGAACATATATAAATAAAATATTTAATGTCTATATATATTTAAATATATATATATAAAATATATATACATATATATATGTATATTATATCGTTGTCATATAATATATATATGTATATTATATCTTTGTCATATAATTATACAGTATAATGATTATATCGTCATTGTCATCATATCGCTTATTGTCATTATTAGTTCTATTATACCTTTTTACATTGTTATTATTATTATTTTTATAAATGCATTTTTCATTATTGTTAATTGGATTTAAAGTAAAAGAAAAACAAAGCAATGACATAAAACGCTTTAGTTTTGACCTAAATATTCAGTACACAGTATTATTGTAAATGTAAAGAACAAGGCCAACGATTTAAAACACTTTAAAGGGGGAAGTGGGGGGTGCGGGGATGAGAAAAGTGGCGATATATTGCTTATTTAACCTTTCCTGAGTTCGGGAAAAATACTTCAAAAAATTCAAAATGTTGAGATGTAAGGATAATTCGAGAAACAAAACATGATGTGATGAGACAGGGAAATCAGGTGAAAACGAGGCTGATCACTTTTTCAGTAGCTTGGTAGATAGCATTTTCTAACCAACTCATTAAGTCTGTCAATTAATTTTTGGCAAGCAGCTGATCGAAAAATCGTCCCGACTAGCCAAGATACAGTACACTAGTGTGAAGTCGTGAGATTTTGTGATCGTTTACGTACGCAGTTACAGAGAGACGGTTTAGTCAACGTCAATTCAATCATGGAGGAATAATTCAATTGAATTAATAAACGTATATCAGTCCGATGACTTGACTTGTTTGTTTATAATCAGGCCTACACCTATGCCTAGGATTAGCACAGTCGGTGTCTACCCAGCAGCAGTAGCGCACTCCTGTCCGGGACACTGCTCCAGTCCCGCAGCAGGTGAGTTCGCACGCAGCCTTATCCAGCTGACGGTAAAGATAGTAGGTTTCTACTTCTAGCCTAGCCTAGACTTGTCATGCCATGCCATCTTTGTCACATTAATTGTGCTAGTGCATTTTTTTTTTATAATAATAGACCTAGGCCCCTATAGGCCTACTACTAATAATTGCTGCGAAGCAGCCAATTCATATTCTTGACAGCAATTTGACCTCTGAAAGGTCATTGTAGGGTGTTCACACCACCAGTAAAACGTGCAGGAAACTGCAATTCAAATTGACTATCTCCCACATAAATTAATATTTCTCCACTTGTAGAAGGTCTATCAACATAATTCTTTCACTTTTAGTGAGAGAAAGGTTGTTTCTATCATATCTGTAAGTTTTATTAACTTCACTGTAGTAGTTTTGCCACAATGATAGTTTATAAATTAGTAAGCCTACCAAATCTCTGCTTACAGTATAGGGTTTCACCATAGAGCTATTAAACAACTAGAGTGCTGACAAGATGGCGGAGCAATGCAGAGTTATGTGTGTACCATCCAAGATGGCCGCCGTATAAAGAGCGCCACCATATATTCCTTAATTTAAAGATCTTGCGCGCCAACGCAACCACGAGTGATTTGAGTTGAGGAGAGAAGTTCGGTATAGTGTACTATTTTAAATTTAACCAGTGTGCCAATTTACTTCATGGAGGTGATTTGAGTTTCGTGAGGGGTGAACAAGTTTTTATGATAGAAACGGTGTGAACATGTAACAACATGTAGCCTATATTGTAAGTAATTGACAAGAGCTCAATAAAACTTAAAACCCTACATGCATGGGGGCCTAGGCCTAGCCTAGCTGCAGTGCTAGCTATGAGTGACTAGGTCTAGCTGGGCTATTTAGTTGCCCTGGGCCTAGCGCTTTTTATACTAGTCAAAATAACGGCAATAATTGAAAACGGCAACGACCAAAATGCAAAAAAAAAAAAAAAAAAATTAAATTAAAAAAAAAGCAACATTTGCTAATAATAATAATAGGACTAGGGCCTAGGCCGGTTGAGTTAGTGGTAGGTAAATAGACACTATGAAATTTCAACAATGGATGAACAAAAAGTAGGTTTAATTTTACATGGATGGTCGCAATAAATATTTTTTTAAATATAAATAACATTTGTGAGGTCTTCACTATAATAATAATAATAATATATAAATTATAATTCCAGATTTTTGCATCCCTACAGCTTAATAATAGTTTGGGTTTACTTCTAATATTGTAAAAAATTGTTATTAAATAAACATTGGTGGATTCAACGTGTGGAGGAGGTGGGCGAGTGGCCTAAATTCTTCAAAAAAAAAATGCAGACTTCTACTTTCATAGTTTGATATCATATTTGTTGGAAAAATAAATTGTTTGCATTCATTACAGAATGTTGAAATGATGAAAAAATATTTATGAATAATGCTGCATTTGTAGAACTTGGTGTGAATGTTGTTGTTTGTCCTTTTTGCACCCGAAAACAGATTTACCGTGGTACTGTACAACAGTCACCTCTCTCAATTCAGTGCATTACAGAAGCGCTCAAGACTCATCATCACTGGAGAATGAATAACAACATTAACAATGTCATGTTTATGGTAAATATATTTCATTTTATTCAATTGATCATTCACAACACAAGGAAAAGGGTTTTTTTTCAAAACCATATTTTCATTTTACACGTTGAGTTCAATATAATTATTTTATGATTAATTAGCATAACAATTTCAAGTTGTTACCCTGTTTAAACACATGCATAATACAACGCATTTATTCATGCATATGTGAGCTATTAGACCATGAGTCTGAACTATTTCTTGAACTCTTAAGTAAACTACACAAATAGTGTAAAAAAATGATTTATTAATTTTCAATGGGCAAATTTAAACACGTTCGAATTGAAAAAAAAAAAAAATTTCCAGCCCTTGAATTTTAACCACTTTCCCACCCTCCCAATTTATTTTTTGTTTAACTACATGCATACAAATTCCAAATGCATACTTCCAAATTGTAACCTTCCCCTTCCCCCTCCCAATTATTTAATTGTTTAAACACATGAACTCATTAGCTTTCAGACCATGTGCCTAACTATTTCAAACTCTTGAAGGCAACTGCGCTTTAGGGACATCAATGTTTATTGATTTTTAAAAATTACAATTTTTGTCATCTTATGGCGAATTGATGCTTCTGATTTATGTACAATTACACGGTTATAGAATTTAGCATATGTTTGAAGACGGAGTGTGAGGTATCTCCTTGAAACTTCTTTTATTATTTGCATAATGTGACTGTCCTCAAACCCTGGGTCATTGGATTTGCTACAATTACCTGATTCAAGAGTTGGAAATAATTTCGGGCCATGGTCTGACAACTCATGGATGCATTCAATGATCATTTTCATGCATATGCCTGCCTTTGTGTTGATTTTGTTAGGTGTTTGTAAAACATGTAAGTTAAAGATTTTCTCGCATGTTTTTATGATTTTAAAGACCCCATTGCTAGCAAAAGTTAGCCCCCCATTATTTTTACGTTGAGTTAATTTCTGAAATGGATGTTTGATTACTGTATAACAGTGGTCATCATGTGTATTATTTGATTGAATGATCGCGTTGGCACAATCTGGACAATTGATTGAATCCTTGATTTTACGGCATACAAACCCAGATATGTAATATAGAATGTTGTCACGATATGGGTTGGAGGAACATGGTAAGTCCATGTCGTCCATATCATTCGTACTTGAGTTATCATTGTTTTCAGGAATGTCAATATCTTTCAAAGGGGAGCTTCGTTTGGACCATTTTAATGTGAACATGGGTGTTTGAGCAACAGTTTCAAATTGCAAACAATTTGATTTTAGTGATGCTTTTACAGAGTTGTTGAATAGCATACTTCGTAATGATGACTTAAATTGCATGGAATTAGGGTTGTTATTCCAGCCATTTCTTGCACGTATACAAGAAAAGAGTACTTCAATGTGATCCTGGGATAGTCTATAGGTCATGAGATAATTAAGGGGATTGATTGGTCGTGTTAGTAGTCCTTTTGATAGTGAAATGGTGGATTTTATTGATATTGCTAATCCTATGAACCCTGTTTTTCTTCTTGAAGTAATTAACTTTTTCCCATTTACTTGTTCAGTGTTTAGTAGCATTGATGCACACTCTATAAGGGACTGTTCACATAGTTTAACATTTGATTGTTTTATCGGGGATTTATATCCACATGCTCGTGGGTTTCGGGAATTTAGGATGTCAAAGGTTTTATCTATGATTCTTATAAATTTAATTGTGCCCTCACTTCCAGAAAATTCCTTGTTCGATAGGTCATCCCTAAGGAATTCCAGCGCATTAGCTACTGAGGAGCTTAGAGTTTGGGCAGCAAGTTTTACATTCATTTTGTGTTCTTTCCATTTAATGTGATTTGAACTTAATTTATTTGCCAGATAAAGACCCTCCTTTTCTTGTAATATATTTAATGTTTCGAAATATTTCCATTTCACTGTTGTCTTTCCGTTTACTGATGACTTGCAGGGAATCACAAACTCCTTCCACTCAGCTCTGAAATTTTAAACAAAATATCAAAATAAATACTGTATGAAGTTTGAGGCATTCTTAACATGTATATTTTTTAATTGGAGGAAAAGTAAATTACTGTATTATTTAATTTATTTCTTTACATACAGATTCGAGATGAGCAAACATTCAACTTACAGCGTGTTTCGTAGAAGCTTCAACATATGGCAGACATCAAATATCACATGAACATCATAGCTGCAAGTTGGGTGAGGGAATGTTGTTATAATCGATTCATATGTTTGACCAAAGTTACAACCAAGAAACTTAGCTGCTTCCTGATTAACATATGTTCCATCCCAAACTACGCTCCATGTTGTTAGACCAGCATCGGCAAGTAGACTTAAAGCAGTTTTGACGAGTTGGGAGAGAACACAGCCAGAAATCTTGTTGCATAAAAAATATCCTATGACTGATTTCCATGAACGTCATGTTAAACCCACAACCATGAATACTAGTGACTCGGTAGCTAATTCTTCAGAGGATTCTACGTTGGAATTTCCGTAATTTACAAATCCACTATATTGTTGATTTTTTGCATCCCATAATGACTGTTTCCTAATGTGTATACCATCAATAATGAGTGTTACATCGTTGCAGATTTCCCTATTTGTCACTTTCATTTTAAGTTGCTCAATTACTTCGGAAAGAAAACCAGGCTGACAGTCAACTGAGCAGCACCAGTTTCTGATAGATGATGAGTGAGGAAGGTGCAGGATCTTGCGTACATAATCATAAGCTTTTGGGGAGTGATAATGTAATGTTACGGCAAACTGTTTTGCAGTGTCAGAATAGCGTTTTCCTTTGGGATTGAGTTTGTGATTTCTTGACATGTTTTTTATCAGCTCCAGTGTAAGTCCTGTGAACTCTTGCTCAATTATATTGCTTACATCTTCATTAATTTTGTTTTTTTTCCTTAATTGCTGAAGAAGAGCTGATATTGATTTGATTTTTTTATTTTTTCTCCACACCTTGTTTTTTATTGTTTTGACTTCTAACTTTAAGGCGTTTATTCTTTCTTCTTTTGAAACTTTTAAGTAATATGGGTGATCGAATTTTGCTATCCTAGCAATTTTACTGGGACTGTCTATAGTATCTGAATTAAATTTTCGTTTTCTTGTTAATGCAGTTTGTTCAAAAAATGTTAGATTATTATTTTTACCATAGTTTTCGAACACAGTGGGAATAACACTTGCTTTAAGTCGTCTTTTTTGGTCTGGTGACTGTTGAGTAAAGTCATTATCATTAAAATGCAGAGAGCAAACAAACTGGTGTTTAGTCGGGTCTGAATTTTCGTCGCTTTGAAAAATATTTTTATCAATATTTTCCTGTGTCAATAGAAATCTGTTGAAAAATAAATAAAGTTATTTGCACTGTTATAAATGAATAATAAAAATAAATCAGTGGGAAATCTACCAATAGGTAAATAAAAATTATATATAGCCCTAAATGGATAAATTATTCATATTTAAAATAATTTCATAAAATAAATTTTGAAAAATGTAATTCCTCATGTTTTTTTTTGTTTTTGTTTAATGTTCTATGCAAGTAAAAGGAGCAATGCAAAAATGCATAAATTAATACTATTATGAAACTCCCCATATTATAGAAATATAGCCTATCTTTTAACTACTCTACGGTATAATAAAAATAAAATAAAGTGCCTTTTATTTTTGTATAGGCTACTAGACATTGTCATAAACCTTGCTAGTTGATAACACTATAATTAATATTAAAATACCAACTAACATTAGGCATAACACCATACAATTGAAAAATAATATTGTAATAATTATTTTTAACCTACAATTTTAAACTGATTTTTAACTGAGGAATTACTGTATTTATATTTGTATATTTTTGTTGTTTGTATGTTTAACTGTCAAGGCTAAATGAGTTTTCCCATTGTGGGATAATAAAGTTTTATTGAATTGTTGAATAGAAGTATTTTTTATTTATTTTATCATAGAAAAGTTAAAACTTTATTTGCTTGGGGAAAAAAATAAGGTAGCCTACATAAATAAGCTGCTGTAACTTACAAAGAAATTTATTTTTATTTTGGAATGAAATATAACTTGAATAAAATTGAAAAAAAAACATACCTATGATAAGAAATCTTAATACCAGTTTGATCTTCATACAAACGCCGTGTACTTGTTGTGCAGTTTTTAACTGCACAACGGCGTACCATAATATTTACTATCACTCTACATTGTCATTTTTTGTAATGTATTACTGGTGCAAATTAATTGAAGAAATAAACGTTAGTATGTACGTTACCCGCGACCGTCACACCGCGACCGTCACACCGAGCGTACTTTGGAATCTTTCATACAAGATTGAGGGCGCAATTCAAGATTATGCCTAAGTGAATTTTGATTGGCTGAATCTACGGCAGCCATCTTGGATGGTACACACACACAGCTCTGCGTTTTAGGAACGTCGAATGTATTGCTGTTAGCGCTCTAGTATTCTTATTATACCTCTATGAATAAAACACATACAAGCGTTAGTTGGCGTCCTACACTAGCTGCGTAGAGCGTATCGTTTTTTTACGCTCTCAATGAGCGTTGTTGTCGCTCTTGTTCTATTTATACTCTTTGCTTCACTACACGGCTTAATGAATCCTACAAAAACGCAAGTTCTGATACATTCTCTTCACTTACCGGTATACTATTAATTATTCTCTCCTAGGTAAAAAAGGAGCACAGGGGCTGCCTGGCCCGCCTGGACCAAAATATGTACCAGGTATATTAATTCTATGTTTTAATCTTTTTCTATTTCTTGCACAAAAACTATTAATTATGCAGAGTGAGTTGTCACACTTGTTAGACTTGCCACAAGTCTCTATTTTATAGATTTTTCTAATTGACCTGTTTGGTAAAGACTAAATCTAGCAGCCACACGAGGAACATTATATTTAAATATCATGAATAATCAATTACCAGATTATTATTATTGTTGTTGTTGTTATATCAGTATTAATAGGTTCCTCGTGGCTGCTAGATTTAGTCTTTACCCAACGAGAGTTGTAGGCCTATTCAAGATTTGGATTAACCAATGTGTTAATGTATAATGCATTTACTACTACGTATAAAATATATAGTATGAGCCAATTAAAACATAATTCTATATATAAACTTATATATAAAGTTTTTGATTTGCAAATAGCTGAAGAACAGATCTTGGCGTCATGTGATGCCCTCAAAAAAGCCGGTGGTAATTTTAATGGTGTTTATACGATTGATCCCGATGGTCCGAACACTGGATTGGATCCATTTGCGGTAGTATGTGATATGACATCGGATTTGACAATGGGTACGTCATGACTTATATTTTAGTCGACAAAGAAAACATTTATCATCAGTTTATTATACAATATCACTTCAGAAATATTAATTCCGACATACTAGGCATACTCATGCTGGTAGCGTTTCTCACTTTTATCCGTCATAGTAAGTGAGAAACGCTCATGAATGTAACTGGGCTTTAATACGGTATATTATATCATTAGACTGTTGCAAGAAGCCCTGCCCCTTGAATATTGATGAAAAGTTTCTGCAAAACGACAGCGTAAACGTACATAAACTCACGTGCAATTTTAGACCTAGGCAAATCAACAAAATCTGCTTGTTGCATAGCCATTTCGTAATCTGAAATGCGCATGCCCCAATCAAGGTCAATCGAAATTGATCTTGGATACAGGCATGCGCAGTTTAGACTACGAAATGGCTTATTGCCTACGCGAGAGACAACGGCATAGGTTGACTGTTCTGATTGATCAGTTGTTTTGACACAACGGAAAGATGGCCCTATGGCTTGTCGACAGATGTCTGTTTTAAGGATGTATTGTCCCTTGCTAATGTCAAAAAAATCATTAAAAAATAATTTGAAAATCAACTTGCTCATTTTGCAATAACATACAATTAAATTGTGCATAGAAAGTATTGAATTAAAAAAAAATGTGTACCCTGATTTTTAAACCAGAAAAGTATAATAAAAATAATAAAACACTGGAAGTGTTGCTATCATTTTTAGCTGTAATCTGGTGGGTAGGCATTTTTCTAAAATACGTTAATGTCTATGTTCAATTTGATAAACTCGTATGTTACTTTAAAATGAGCAAATAAATTTTTTTTTAAATATTTTTATGATTTTGTTTTTTGGTAATTAGCATGGGAAAATACATCTTTAAGTTAAATTGTAGTACTTCTGTACATAAAATAACATACTTCTTTTATTGATCTTTTGCTTGCGTTAGACATATCCTAAAATAAGGATAGATATATAAGAAACTACACGCGTGAAAGTATGCCTTTGACACATTATTTTGATTAAAGAACCTTAGTAAATATTTTAAACCATTTTTCAAATCAAGGTATTGTAATAATTCATCACGATAAGGAGGAAGATGGAATTGTGAACCACGCCGATACTGCTGCCTCCTTTAGAGTTAATATCACCTACGCTCTTACGTCAGAACAGATATCAGCTATCAAAAACGTATCATCATCTTGTAGACAATTTATTAAGGTTAGCATTATGTTATACTGTATTGTAACGGACCTGGTCCTTTTTATTCAGCAGTTATGGTCAGTTTTTTTTTTTAGTACACATAGGAAACTGAAGCCGAAAAAGCCATTATTTCCAGGCTGAAGGCATTTTTAAGGATATAATGGCTCCTAAGGCTTCTATTTCCCATAGTGCACGAAATTGCTTGACTATAATTGCTTTATATGTCAGTTGTAACGTCAACCACATTTTATATATATGGCTCTTTAATCAAATTGTTTTTTGTAGAGCGGTTGCTATATAGCAACTGCTCTATATACTTTTTAATGAATACAGTTTACCCTCCAATTTCCGACCACTCTTGAGACCTGAAAATTTGGGGTGGTCTTGGGGTGGGTCTAGACATGGACGTAGCCATGAATTTGAAAGGTGGGGGAGCCGTTATGCGATGTACGTATGACCCCGGGCCCGGCGGGGTCCAGGGGAACGAACCCCTCCCCCTGTGAAGTAGCGCACTCTGAACGTTTTAAGGACCGTTTTGAGAGTATAAAGTGAAAATTGCATTATACACAACAAAAATAATATTAGTAGGCCCAGCAATAATTATAATAAATCAACAGAATCCAGGAATTCGAAAGAGAGGTGTCCCAGGGAGGGACTTTTACAGACTGAGGAACCACCCACCTCAGACCCACCATGGTTGGTAGGTGAGAAAATAGTACCTCTAGATGGCCGGAAGTCACACTTTTACATAGTACAATTATCACATCATAATTAATAGTCAAAATGAAATGCCAACAAATTTCTCATGTATTTTATCAGGGATCTACTTAATATCCAGGACAACTTGTCCTAACTATAATTTACTAAGCTTTAACTACAATATTATCATCAACAAATCACAACTTTATTTTTCGCCTTTAGCAAAATTTTCTTCACATTTTAATATTATTAATATTACTATCAATTATCACTATTCATCATCATCACCATTATTATTATTATTATTATTATTATTATTATTATTATTATTAATAGTATAGTACTATTAGACAATACTTTTAAAAAACTTACAAAAGGATAAAAACCAAACTGAACAATACAGAATCACATTTATGTATCGTAAAAGACTTGGCCTGGGATTTATGGATTTTTAAAGCATGTGTTATAATTATAGTAGGCCAGGCTATGTATTACGAGTACTGATGCATTTTTACGTATTTTAGAAGTATTCATTTTGAGTGATCTCAGGAAATAATTTGTATTGGCTCAAAAAAGCTTAAAAATTTAACACTGTGTACAAAGGTGGGGGAGGCCCGCTCCCACGGATCCCCTTTCTTTTTGGGGTTTTTTAAACACATTTCGAAAAAAAAAAAATTGATCCCAGATCCACACGTTACATCACATTCAATCAGGCTTCGCTACGTTACATTATTATCTTATAGGTACACCATTATGAGAAGACAATTACTGTAACAGACTAATAAAATAATTGATTCTTTATCTATCCCATAGTACGTATGCGTTAATTCAGTTATTGGTTATTCAGGAGAAAAATATGCTTATTGGATCTCATTTGATGGAAAACCTATGCACAATTGGGGAGGAGTTCCAACGGGAACTATAGGATGCGAGTGCTGGATGACGAGTGAGTTAAATTTTACTTATAAATGTTATGTGTATTCTGTATTTCATACTACGCTTGTTAGCGGGTAGCTCAGCTTTTAAGAATCGGGTGGACATCTCTGAGGTGTGGAGTTCTTATTGTCATTGAATTTCGCTTTTGTCATTGAACAAGATACTTTACCTACTCATTGCATCTATCCACCCATAAGTACAAACCCGTACGCAGGGGGTACGACAGGTGTGTATGTACCCCCCCCCCCCACAAATTACAAAAGGTCCTCATTCCCCGGCGTAGAATATTCAAGACACACTCACACGCTACAGAAATACATCCACCAAAACTGCTTGAACACTCAAAGCATTTCGTACAATTTTTTTATTTTTTGTTTATTTATTTTTTTGTGGGGGGGGGGTGGGGTGGAAGGAGGGCAAGGTCCACGACGAGAGGAAAGTGGGTGCGGTCGGGTGTCGATTAAAATGTTTCGAAAGCGGTCCAGGGGGTGGTCCCCCGAAATATATGGAAATTTAGGGGTTTCAGAGGCTTATTTTATCGATTTTATCTACAGATAGTCTACTAATATGTAGACAATATATAATATTTTTCCCCCTGCAAATTATGTTTTTTTTTTCTTTTCTGAGGTGTGGGGGCAACCTTGGGGGAAAAACATTTTCTGAGGTAAATTCCCCTTTTCTCCACCTCTTCCCCCTCCCCATAGCGCCGCCACTGCGATTTCATGAATCCGCCCTATCTGGCCGGGTAGAGTGTGGACGTATTCGCTTGTAAACAACAACAAAGTGATTTATTACTTTCCCTACCCTGTTCCCATCAGTACCGGGCTTATCCACGACGAAAAGCGCTTCTCTTTATTTGTTCATATTCGCAATTTCCATTAATTCCATTTACTTATAATATAACGTTTACGAAGTAGTAGTAGAAAGTTGGTATTTTCAATGCCCAATAATACTATAGCTTTTACATTGTGCGCTAGACCTACATTATTTCTTTTACGTTTAAATATATAATTTTTTTTTACTTTGTTCCATAAATTTACATTGACACATGCAGTAAAAATCTGAAACTCACGTTGTGGCATGTTTCACAGGCTATGTGTATGTCCAATTTGTAGAGATTTATATTACTCTGATTTATTTACGATTCTTTAAATTTAATCATATTAATGAAGTTAACCCGTAGTATAATAATTAATGACATTTTCACAGTATTTTTAATTAGATTGATTTAATTTTGTATATATCAGTTTCCTTAACCTATTAAAGTTGCTATACTCATCGTTAGGCCATCAATACTTTTGATAGCCTAAAAAACATTGGAAAATAAAAACACTGAATAATGTTTGCTCTCAAAACCAATGGAGGATTCAGGGGTGAGCGCAGCTGGCCTGGGCCCTTCCCCTTAATGGAAGAAAAAAACTAAAATTGTATTAAAATTTTATTCTTAGAATTGCTTTTCCTGTTGCCTATGGGTGCCATAATCAAAAGTGTTCCTACCTTTTACTACCGTGCGGTATGAAATGAGTACGGTAGTAAAAAGTGTTCCTACCTTTTACTACCGTACTCATTTCATACCGTGTTACATCTTCAAAATCTATTAAGACCTAAAAATATCAAAAATATCTGAGTGGGAGGGACTAGACTTCAAAAGGGCTATGTTCCGCAGGGCCCCCGAATTCTAGGGGGCCCTACCCACAGGTTCCTCGATCTAGCACCCTGACCAAAAATGACTTTGTTGATAAATAACACCATAATGTGTCTCTGAAATCGACTGTATGGGCATATATCACGTTATAACGCTTAAAGAGAGGGGCCCCGTCGGTCCTACTTGAGCCCCTCTTGACGCGGGACCACACCAAATTTGTCAAAACAAATTTAAAATGCAGATAAAAAGAAAATTATATTCACAATTTTAAGTCTGTAAGTCCCATTTCCGGCCATCTAGACGTGTCAGAACAATACTATTATACATTTTCTTATCTCCTCAGCCCCACAGGGGCAACAGCATAGTATTGTCTGAAATCGATTGTAGGACATATCATATTATATCCAGTGGCGTATAAGGAGTTGGGGAGCTGCCGCCCCGAGGCCCCACTAAATTTGTCAAAATATATAACTGGAGAAAAAAAAAAGAAATTATATTCACAATTTTATGTCTGTGAAGAGCC